CTGTATCCAAAAACACGTACTTCTCTGATAGGAGTGCTCGTTTTCTCTGTCGTCTTGGCTCACTTTAGCTACGAACAAGAAGCAGACAGATAACTATTTTATTTTCCAAAAAGAGACGCTTCAGCTGTGACATTAATTCTCCATTTCTACAAGACCTGGTATAGATACTAGCCTGCTGTTATAATGTATACAGTCAGATCGACTCGAGGGAGCCGAAGTGGGAAGAATTTAGCACGTGACAATGTATTCCAGAGCACGTGCTGTGAAGGATACAAAATAATCAGAGGAGGACCAGCCACGAAGAAAGAAAAACAGGACTAATCAATTTCTTTCATTGTCATCATAAGAGAAATATAATAAAATATGCTTTGGTTCATATTGACTGTTTCGTGTATTTTTTTTTAAATTTAATCAATCTTGAATGAAACCACAACGCTTGTATTAAGAACAAAGAAAAAAAACTATATTAATCTGTTTTCCTGGTTCACGGTTTCTTCAAAGTTATGATTACATTCTAACATGACACAAGACTGGTGTTTATGTGCACGAAAATTCGATTTCTGGTTAATAATTCTCAATATGTTTAATGTTTCTGTATTGTGATTAAACCGTAGAATACGTATTTATTTCCGAACAGTGAAATCTGTGTTTTCATGAAAAGAAGATATTTTTAATGATCATTAAAATTCTTAACGAAATCACAATAGCATTTATCAACTGCTTCATATGGTTTATGTAACTAACTAAGGTTTGGAAGAATTTAGCACGTTTACTTGGATTTTAAATAAACTATATTACAATTTTGATTATGGCTCTTACATACGTTTCTATTGTAAATTCAACAAAACCGTCTACAACGTATTTGGAAATATCAAAAATCCAGAAAACATAATTAAAGTTATATGACGAAATTGATAATATTTCGATCCCTCGGCAGCTTTTCTGTGTTTTTCCTTCTGGAAACACTCTATAATTTCCTACTTATAAATTAAAAGTACCTTAGAGCAAGCTTTGGACTCTCTGGTACCTTTAAATCTTTGACAAAACAACTTAAAAATCCAAGTGCTCTAGGAAGGCAGACCTTCCTTCTTCAGGGATAAGTTGAAATTGAGTAGAAAGTACACATTGTGAAAGTTGATAAAGTAACATTCGTTGACATCATGGGTATATATAACAGCTCACCATGAAAATACAAAACAACATTCCCATTGAAAGTCAATTAAATCACTTCTGTGTAACAGCATTCTCATTGTAAGTCAATTAAAACACTTCTGTGTAATAACGTTCTCATTGAAAGTCAATTAAATCACTTCTGTGTAACAGCATTCTCATTGAAGGTCAATTAAAACACTTCTGTATAATAACGTTCTCATTGAAAGTAAATTAAATCACTTTTGTGTAACAGCATTCTCATTGAAAGTCAATTAACTCACTTCCGTGTAACAACATTCTCATTGAAAGTCAATTAAAACACTTCTGTGTAATAACGTTCTCATTGAAAGTAAATTAAATCACTTTTGTGTAACAGCATTCTCATTGAAAGTCAATTAAATCACTTCCGTGTAACAACATTCTCATTGAAAGTCAATTAAATCACTTCCGCGTAACAACATTCTCATTAAAAAATCAATCAAATCACTTCCATGATGTTATGGTTGGTTGCTATAGGTACCCATTACGTCGTTGAAAAACACTTCATTAACATTCATACTTTATGATCCTTCCTCATTCCCAACTCATCCCGTGAGAAGAACGTATGTTATTTGAAAGTGATTGAGTTATCGGTTTTTTTTCTTTTTCATTGGTTTAAATGTTGATCTATATGACTTCTTAAAATTTTGATTTTTCGTAACAAAAATCATAAATTCTGCAACATATTTTGAAAAACCAACATATAACGATTACCTCACTTATTCTACTTCCTATAAACTACAGCACTCTGTTATATCATAGAATTACACTAGCTTATATCACACAATGATACTAGCTTATTGTCCAGCTACTAAATTTTACACGTAATCAAAAAAGATGAAAAAATAAGGATGATGTAAAGTAGGCAATGCTAAAGAGTACAGAATCAAGGCAGGGTTTCTTTCTGAATTTCGCGCCAAGCTACACGAGGGCTATCTGCGCTAGCCGTCCTTACTTTAAGAGTGGGAAGGCAGCTAGTCATCACCACCCGCGGCCAACTCTTGAGTTACTCTTTTACCAACGAATAGTGGGATTGATTGTCACATTATAACGCTCCCACGGCGGAAAGAGCGAGCATATTTGGTGGGACGGGGATTCGAACCCGCGACCCTCAGATTGCGAGTCGAGCACCCTAACCACCTGGCCATACCGGGCCCACAAGGCAAGGAAGAATACATAAAACCATACAAAAATTACTACATAAGTAATCAAATATTTCCAAGGAAAACTTTTATCTACAACTAAACGTTGAATTATCTTCATATGGATGAATTCAGGTTTGATTAAAAGCATTTAAACTGAATATTGCTATACAGTCTCACAGTGGCTAATTCCCATAAGCTTGTAAGTTTGACTCAGTATTTACTGGCTACTTATGTAAGGAATTTTGTATGGTTTTATGCATTCATCCCTACTTTGCTTCTGTACTTTTTGGCATTGCTATCCCTACAACATCCTTATTTTGTTTAAACTTTATATTACTTATTTCCCTTCTTTTCTGAAGAATATTTATAATGACTTGCAGTCGCTATAAAGGCATCGGTTTTAGCCTGGCGTGATGAGTTATCTTGATGGACATCATATGTGAAGTTAGTGAAACTACCCAAGTTAAAATGCAACATTCTGGTGTGTAAATCATCGCAATAACCTCAAGCATTGGTGAATTAGCCCTTCTGACTCCAGAACCAGAATAATCAGTAGAACAAACCGGTTCTCTACTTTAACGATGTTTCTTGGCTAAACTGAAGGTCTTAATAGGTTTTGAAAGCCAACATAATTTAGGTGTTTATAAAAGTATCTTAGATTTGTTATTAGAGAGATTTGAGACTATGTTGAGCAATACATAATATGCGTCGGCCGTTTTTTCCCAGCCCATCCCTACATACTAAGCACTACCGTGCTTAACGATAGTAGAATTGTGCTAACTTTTACGCTAGAATGATGCTCACATTATAATATTATCATTATATGTGTCACGGTGTGAGCCGGGCGTGGCCTAATTGTTATCGTGTCCAGACTGAGGATGTAGGATTCATGGTTCGAAGTCCATTGGCGCATAAACGAACTCCGCACTTTGGTGTCGTAGGTGTGTTATAAGAGTGACAGTCAAATCCCGCTATTTGGTGTGACACGAACAGCCTAAAAATTGATGATGACCGTGCTAGTGTATCAGTTCAAGACTAGGGACGGATACGTGCAGATAGTCCATATAGCGTTACGTGAAAATTCTGAAACAAACTCAAAAATATTTACATATATATATGTTAGTTTCTGGTGGTCCCACGTATCACTCAGAACTAATAGTTTATCCCATAGAATGATGTTACTTTTTAGTAAGTAACAGATTAATGAGACACGATGCCATAAAATATTAGTAAGTTGATTCTTACAAATCTTAGATATTGTAAATAATCAGCCATCGTTCTCTGAAAAAAATCTTTATATTCATACTTTAAGCCACTAGTTTGTAGTTTTCAATCAATAACAATGAAAGTGAATTTGTAGTGTTAACTCTTCTCTTCAGTCTCATTCAGTAATATAAGATTAATTCAACGAACGAGGGTGTTTTTCCAGTATAAATCAGTAAGGTTACATTCAGTGAAAAACAAGGACATTTTTACCTCATCTCTTCAGTTTCAATCGTTAATGCTAAATTTCAATGGAAAACAAGAAAACTTATCTTCGTAGTTAAACTCTTCTCTTCAATTTCATTCGCTAAAGTTAAAATCAATTAAAAACAAGAACACTTCAGAGAACTTCAGAGTTAACTCTTTAGTCTTATTCATTAAGGTTAAATTCGATGAGCAACAAGCACACTTCTCTTTAGAGCTAACACTTCAGTTTCATTCACTAAAGTTAAATTAAATGAAAAACAAGAACACTTCTCTTTAGAGTTAACCCTTCAATTTCATTCACTAAAGTTAAATTCGATGAAAAACAATGAAATTTCTCTTTATTAACTCTTCTCTTTAAACTGCTTTCGAAACGTCAGATACAGTCAACAAAAACGAGAGTTTTTCTCCAGAGTTAACACTGTGCTTCAGTATGTTTCAATAACATCAACAACAACGAAAATGGTTCTGTAGAGTTGTCTCTGTGATCATCGGTCTTGATCACAGTGTTTTCACTCAATCAACAACGACGAGAGTGTTTCTACATAATTAAATCAACTATTCAGTCCGTCTAGTAACGTTACTACATTCAGTCACCAACTAGAATAATAATATTTCTTCAGAGTTAACTTTTCTTTTCAGTCTCGTTTCGTAGTGATATTTTCAATCCATAAAAACGAAGACAATTAAATAGATAATTGATTATGCTCTCAACGTTGTTTGAATAGTGTTACATTCAGCCTTTTCTTCATCTTTTAGCGGAAGTCATTTCTAAGACAACTGATATCTACTAATATTAAACTTGAGAAACATCCACTTTAGATGTTTTAACCCAATCCGTTTAACAATATGACACCTTAAGTGTACGATATAAATTCCATAATGTGTGGACTTTGTGCATATCTTGCTAATGAACAGGAAATTAAATTTCATAAAATGATGAACACCAAACGTTCGTCCTTCATTCAAAACAATTAATTTTTGTATTGAAATATTCTATGAGCTCTGATTTCTCAGGAGCAAAATATTATATTAGCCACGAATAACCATTTATCTGGAACCCCTAACAATGCTGTATTTTGTTACGACAGGAAGTGTTTGCAGTAAAAACACAGCGCAGGCGCTGTACATCAAATCCAAAGCTCATACGGAGCAGGACAGACTAATTTCCTTACTTCAGTTGGCGAGTGTATTTACTTCACGCTCGTCAAAGCACGGTGGAGTGGCAATTCACGCTGTACAGAAGAGTTTTGTACCAGAACTAGGTTGTGACGAGATCGTCGTGCAATCTTTAACGCTAGTTACTAGATGTCAGTTTGCCCTTGATTGCAAGGTTGTGAAGCCAGAAACACGTGGTTAACTTGTAAGCAACAAAAAGGTGGTTTAGGAAGCCGACAATTTCGTTAAGTGGTGAGAACTATGCCAGACTTGGTTTTAGTTTATATTTGTTTGTACTTAGCAACATATGTCGCCATTATTTGACGACATTTGAAATATCCGATTTTAACATAAATAATAGAGTTTGGATTAATACATGGACATCTTTTTATCGCGTAATATCGGATGATCTTAACGATGACAGGAATTAACAGATGAAACGAAACGTAACGGTGAAAATTCAGGTGGTGTTATTAAAGTAAAAATGACGTAAACAATTTTGTGTTGAGTATTTGTAAAAAAAAAAAATGTCACTCTCAATTTCCTCACCCTCACCAGCTCTACTTATCTTACAAGATATTAGTCATTAAACTTTTAGAATCATTCGCTACACTACCCAAAAGTTACCTACCTTCATTCAGCATTAACATTTTAGGAACGAAATGGAGACCGTCTTGACAGTTACAGCTATTTTGATGGCATTTCTTCTAATCGGTAAGTTTGATGTTTTACGATTTGTATTTATGATTATATAAGCATACATAAACGAAGCCTATCGTTTAACACACACTACATTTTGTCGATTCAATACTTTATAAACACGTTAAAAATACGATTAGTACTTAATCTGACATCAAAGTAAATCTAATAAAAAACAACACGGTTTTTTCTTATATTTACATACATAAGCCTTTTTTTTCTGTTTTGTTTTTTCTTGACATGACTCGTCTGACATCGAGAGAATCTCATATATATATATATACACACGAAGAACCAGAATTTTAAAAATGTTAAAAATAATTAAAAAGACATAAGTCTGGAGCACATAAGTGTTCAACATGTGTAAGAAAATTAAATACGTAACTCTTATTCTCTATAATACTCCCAAACGAAAGTATCTTAACCACAACGGTACTCCCATTCCAAAATTTGGCTTCTAACCACTTAAAAGTGTAATTCTTAACCACTATGTTATCCCTACTCAAAAGTATAATTTTTAACCACTGTGTTACCCCTACTCAAAAGTATAATTTTTAACCACTATGTTACCCCTACTTAAAATTTTAATGTTTAACCACTGTGTTATCCCTACTTAAAAGCGCAATTCTTAACCACTACATTATTCGTACATAAAGTTATAATTCTTAACCTCTTTGTTCTCCCTACTACAAAGGGTACTTTTTAGTTAAAATGACAGTCCTACTTAAAATTGTAATTCTTAACCACTATTTTGCCTCTACGTAAAATGTAATTTTAACTAATATGTTATCCCTGCTTAAAAGTTAGATTTTTAACTATGTCACCACTATGTTGCTCTTACTTAAAAGTTAAATTCTCAATCACTATATTACTCCTACATAAAAGTGTGATTTTTTAACCACTGTGATACCCCTACGTAAAATGCTAATTCTTAACCATTATGTTACCTCTACTTAAAGGTATATTTCTTTACCATTACGTTACCCCTTCTTAAAAGTATAATTCTTAATCGCTATATTATCCTTACTTAAAATTGTAACTTTTAGCCACTGTGTTACCCCTACTTAAAGTGTACTTCTTAACCATTATGGTACATCTACTTAAAATTCTAATTCTTAATCACTATGTTACCCTTATGTTAAAGTGTAATTTTAACTAGTATGTTACCCCTACTTAAAATTGTAATTTCTAGCCACTGTGTTATTTATCCCTTCTTAAAAGTGTAATTCTTAACCACTGCGTTACTCTGATATAAAAGTATGATTCTTAATCTTATAAAACTCTTTCTTTAAAGTTTAATTCTCAACCACTATATTAGTCCTATTTAAAAGTGTGATTTTTAGCCACTGTGTTACTCTTACCTAAAAGTGTCATTCGTAACCAATATTTTGTCCTACTTAAAAATTTAATTCTCAATCACTATGTTGCTCCTACTTAAAAGTCTGATTTTTTTAGCCACTATGTTACCCTTACTTAAAAGCGTGATTTTTAGCCACTGTGTTGCCCTTACTTAAAAGTGTAATTTTTAACCACTATGCAACTACTACGTAGAAGTGTAATTCTTAAACACTATGTTACCCCTACGTAAAAGTGTAATTTTTAGCCACTATGTTATTCCTTCTTAAAAGTGTAATTCTTAACCATTAGATTACTCCTACGTAAAAGTGTGTCTCTTCACCACCAGGTTATTCCTACGTAAAAGTGTGGTTCTTAACCATTATGTTACTTTTTTTTTTAAGTGTGATCCTTAGCCATTATTTTGTTACTACTTAAAAGTCTCAACCTTAACCACTTTATTACTCCTACTTAAAAGTGTGATTTTAGTCGCTAGGTTACACTTACTTAAAAGTGTGATTCTTTACCACTATTTCTCCCCTACTTAAAAGTGTAATTTTTATCCAGTATATTACTCTTTCTTAAAAGCTTAAAAGTGCAATTCTTTATCACTACGTTATTTCTACCTAAAAGTGTAATTTTAACCACTGTGTTATCCCCACATAAACGTGTAATTCTTATCAACTATGTTATCCCTAAACAAAAGTGTAATTTTAAATACTATGCTACTCCTACTTAAAAGTGTAATTCTTATCCACTATGTTACCCCTACTTAATAATGTAATTCTTTACTATGTTACTTCTAGATAAAAGAATAAATCATAACCACTATGTTATCACTACTTGAAAGCATAATTCTCAACTATTTTGCTACCCCTTCTTAAAAGTATAATTCTTAATCGTTATGTTAGCCCTAATTAAAAGCGTAACTTTTAGCCACTATTTTACCCCTACTTAAAGGTGAAATTCTTAACCACTATGCTATCCTTACCTAAAAGTATAATAATTAACCACTATGTTACATCTACTTAAAAGTGTAATTCTTAGCCACTATGTTATCCACACTCAAAAGCGTAGTTCTTAACCATTATCGCTCCCAGAGGCACAGCGGTATGTCCGCGGACTTACAACGCTAGAAACCAGAGCACAGATAGCCCAACTACAAATAAACAAACAAATTTAACTATTATCTTACTCTTTCTTAAAAGCTTAAAAGTGCAATTTTTAACCACTATATTACTCCTACTTAAAAGTATAATTCTTAACCACTATCTTGCATAGTGGTTAAAATTACATTTTTATTTAGGGACTACTCCTAATTAATAGTTTAATTGTTAACCTCTATGTTCTCCCTACTCAAAAGTGTAATTTTAACAACTATGTTATCCCTATATAAATGTGTAATACTTAACCATTATGTTATCCCTAAATAAAAATGTAAATTTTAACCACTATGCTACTTAAAAGTGTAATTATTAACCTCTATGTTGCTCCTACTTAAAAGCTTGTTTCATAACCGTTATTTTACTCTTTTTTAAACGCTCAATTCTCAACCAATATACTACTCTTACTTAAAAATGTGATTTTCTCCCCTATGTTCTCCCTACTCAAAAATCTAATTTTTAAACACTACATTATCTCTCTATAAACGTGTAATTCTTAACCATTATGCTATCCCTAAATAAAAGTGTAATTCATAACCACTATACTTCTATTTAAAAGCTTAATTCTTAACCATTATATTACTCCTACTTAAAATTGTGATTTTTAGCCATTTTGTTAACACTACTTAATAGTGTGAATTCAGCTACTGTGCTACCCTTATTTAAAAGTGTAATTGCTAACTATTGTGTTACTCCTACTTAAAAGTGTGTTTATCAGCCACTTTGTTACTCCTACACAAAAGTGGGATTCTTATTCTCGATAATAATAGGAATTAACTTCATTCTTAACTCACTCGAAAAATGACTTTCTCAACCTCTAAATCGATAATGTGGTTCTCATCTTCTATAGTGCTCCCACTCTTAGCGTGTACCCAATCCTCTACATTAGTCTCACTCGACAATGTGTCTCCACTACTCCATGTTAGTCTCACTTGACAACATATCTCCCGTCTTCTATATTAGTCTCACTCGATACTGTGTTTCCAGTCCTCTACATTAGTCTTACTTGTCAATGTGTCTCCACTACTCTATGTTAGTCTCACTTGACAACATATCTCCCGTCTTCTATATTAGTCTCACTCGACAATGTGCCTCCAATTCTCTACTTTAGTCTCACTCGACAATGTGTATCCACTACTCCATGTTAGTCTCACTTGACAACATATCTCCCGTCTTCTATATTAGTCTCACTCGATACTGTGTTTCCAGTCCTCTACATTAGTCTTACTTGTCAATGTGTCTCCACTACGCCATGTTAGTCTCACTTGACAACATATCTCCCGTCTTCTATATTAGTCTCACTCGATACTGTGTTTCCAGTCCTCTACATTAGTCTTACTTGTCAGTGTGTCCCAAATCTTCTATATCAGAATCACTCGACAATGTGTCTCCAGTCCTCTACATTGACAGTGTGTCTCCAGTCTTATATATTACTCTCACTCGACAGTATATCTCTAATCCTATACATTAGTCTTACTTGACAATGTGTCTCCAGTCCTCTACATTGACAGTGTGTCTCCAGTCTTATATATTACTCTCACTTGACAGTATATCTCTAATCTTATACATTAGTCTTACTTGACAGTGTGTCTCCAGTCTTCTATATTACTCTCACTTGACAGTATATCTCTAATCCTATACATTAGTCTTACTTGACAGTGTGTCTCCAGTCTTCTATATTAGTCTCACTTGACAGTTTGTGTCCGCTCTACTATATTAATCTCATCCGAAAGTTTGTCTTCAGTCTTCTATATTAGTCTTAATTGACAGTGTGTCTCCAGTCTTCTATATTAGTCTTACTTCTCAGTGTGACTCCAGTCTTCTACAATAGTATCACTCGTCAGTGTGTCTTACTTCTTTTATATTAGTCTTACCTGACATTGTTTCTCCAAGCCTCTAAAATAGTCTTACTTAACAGTTTGTCTACCGTTACCTATATTAGTCTCACTCGACAGTGTGTGTGTCCAATCCTCTACATTAGTCTTAGTTCACAGTGTGTTTACGTTCTTCTATATTAGTCTCACTCGATAGTGTGTCTCCAGTCCTCTATATTTGTCTTACTTGACAGTGTATCTCTAGTCCTCTACATTAGTCTCACTCCACAGTGTGTCTCCAGTTCTTCACATTGGCCTTACTTTACAGTGTGTCTTCAGTCTTATATATCAGTCTTACTTGGCAATGTGTCTCCGGTCTTCTACATTAGTCTTACTTGACAGTGTGTCTTACGTCTTTTATATTAGTCTTACTCGACAGTGTGTCTCCAGTCTTCTATATTAGTATTACTCGACATTGTGTCTCCAGTTCTCTATGTTATTCTCACTTGAAAATGTGTCTCCAGTCTTCTATTTTAGTATTACTCGACATTGTGTCTCCAGTTCTCTATGTTATTCTCACTTGAAAATGTGTCTCCAGTCTTCTATTTTAGTCTCACTTGAAAGTTTCTCTAGTCCTCTATATTGCTTTTACTTGACGGTGTTTCTCCCGTATTGTATATTAGTCTTACTTGGCAGTGTGTCT